AAGGTCAAATAGCCCTTTAACATACCTAAAAACAGACACCTTTCCATTTTACCACTAGATTGACCAAAACTTCAATCTCAACATTAACGTACATCTCGTACATGCAAAATACATCTTATATCATTGCCTTAATTGTAATTATAGTTAATTTAGATTCATGAAAAAAGAATATTGTATTTAATTTCTAACTCATGTATATAAAAATAAAACTACTTTTTTCAAAAAAATAAAAAAATACTAAAAATAGGGTTAGTTAATTCAAAATGTACTAGAAGTGAAGATCTAACCATCATGTTGCCCACTGTTGCCGGCAACCACCGTTAGCCGCCGTTCATCGCTCGTCTAGTAGTGGTGAATTTTTAACAGATTATATATCGTTTAAAGCTCTCGACTCGATTTATCTAACGACATGTTTAATTTTACCATACGATACATCAGACTTTGATAAAACATTGTTAAAATAAAGAAAAAAATCAAAGAATTGTACAGTAAATTTTGTTGGAATGTCACCAGAGATCCGGTCATTGGATTTTTCTGAAACATACATGTATAGAAAGCTCTTTTCATAAGGAATCCAACAATATCCTCCGATCGTCAATCGAACCCTGAAATAGTCAAAAGAACGTCAAAGAAGTTTTTATATTTTTGGTATTGCGCGGTTGTGGGACAAATACTTCAGTCGACGATTTTTTGGCGACTTGGTTGTCCAAACTTGATGGGTGAACTCTCATTTTGTTTCTATTCTCACGGGCAACAAGAACCCTTAATGAATTTGATGAGTGAACTCTCATTTAGTTCCTATTGTGTTTCCACTTTTCATTTCATTCTTGTTTGAGCTCATATGAGCCTTCAATTTGAAGTGACATTTTCTACACATTTTTTTCATCTTTTTCTTCTAAATTTTATTTATTTTTCCGGTGGGTACAAGAACTAATTAAGTGAAAACTGTGGGTACCAAAAGTAAAAATAAGATAAAGTTTAGGTACCATATAAGAATTTTTTCCATTAGTTAAGGGCAATTTAGTAGTTTAATTAATGAGGTTATATTTAAAAATCTAGTTAATGAAGTAAAAGGACATGTGTCCTAGTTTCAATGGGTTCATGTTATAGACTATATACAAGGCACGTACGAGGGGTACATAATGATAAAATGATCCTACTACGTAATGTCATATTTTCATTTATATTTTTTTTAAAGTGCCTTGCTTGTTTATGAAAAGGCGAAATTTTATTTTTTATCCAATATATAAGTCTTTTTTCAAAAAATGAATGCAGTATTTGGCCAGAAAACAAAAATTGGTAAATTAATTCATTCAAACATACAAAAAAAAGTACATAAATCATGACGAGCGAGATAAAAGCCGAATTATTGAAATCTATCACGGGCTAGACGTGGACCGAAAATTGAGTTTGTGTACACAATTTTGAACGAAAATTGAGTCAACATACAAATTTCAATTGGGCTAAAATTTTGTGTATACAACCCTCTCGACTAGGCAAATTCAACTAGCAGTCACACACTTGAAACAAACACCGAACAACACCAGAATTAGGTTGAATATAGAAGTTCAAATTAGTTTGAATGAAAAGTTGAGTGGAAAAATATAATTTGGTTGGGCTACAAAATTTGGTATGATTGTCTCAATGGACAAATCCAATGTTACATCATCGAGTGAAACTTACAATGAACGACACCAGAATGGCCCCCGGATTGAGAACAATTAATTTGCGTTCAAATTATTTTGAATTAAAAAGTTGAGCATGGAAACAAAGTTCAACTGAGATAAAACGTTTTTAGTACCACCATCTTGATGAGAATAATCAAATGGTGGGTAAAAAATGAGGGCTATTGAATGGTGTCAGAATTAAATCAGTTAGAAAACAACCCAAATAAATTTGAATGGAATTGAGTGGAAAACTTTATCCGTAAGACATGGTTAACAAGAAGAATCCAATGGTAGGTTATACACATGAAACGGTTGCTAGATGGCGCTAAAATTAGGCCAAACATAAAGCAACGAATTGCCCCTCGTGATTAGTGTACATTTGTTTTATATATATTTGAGAAATCAATGTACCATGTCAATATATTGTACCTTTTCTGAAAAGAAACCAAATATATTGAAAAAAGAAATAGATATTTTTTCTGTTGAAAATATATTATTACTTAACAACTATGTATAAGTAACTTGTGATTATGTAGACATTTTTTCAATTTTGTCATCATTTTAAATTTATATAATATAACATTTAGGTTAAAAAATGCATTTTTTTAAAGGTGATATTTATGCAGAATGTTTATTTTTTGAGTTAAAATTATGTCAACCAACCTGTAACATGACCATTGGGTGATTCCAACCACGTAAGTGATTGTTTTTTCTTTGTAACTTTAGAATATGTTTCACATTCTTGTATATACAGTTTTGTTTCTTATATTATTGATAACGATTGGTTATCAAATTAGTTTGTACGTAGAAAAATGAGTAAATTGTGCATAATGAGAGATCGCCGAAAAAAATGAAATCAACAATATAAACTTAATTGTATATTTGAGTGTGTTTTTTGCATATAATTGAATGTGTGGCCCCATAACATATTCAATACATGCTATATATATATATATATATATATATATATATATATATATATATATATATATATATACATGATTAGTGAAAATGTAAAAATTGTCTTATGTTGTCTAAGGGTGTGAAAGCCAGATACATGTCGAGGAAAGTCGCATGCACGAAGACACGTGTCTGTGCTTCTTTTGATGATGTGACTGGTTGGTTGGCTGTTTTTTTAATTCTCGTTCACATTCGATCGATAAATCGACATCTAACGTGAGTCGTCAGATCGACAACTAAGCTGCTAGATGAATCGTCAAAGAATGTTGGACTGGCCTGCAATCCATTATCCTTTATATTAGGCTTGCGGTTATAGAGATTACATTCCCCTGACATAAAAAGGAGTTCCAATAACAAGTGGGTCCAGAATTAAAGTATAAAAAAGGAGGCTCGGGTTCGCGATGCGTGGGAGGATTGCAAGATCGCCACGGGCTCTGGAAGCTGTCTGTCGATCTTTGCAGCAACATTAGTTCGTTACACGTACAATCTTCATAAAAGATTTTTAAATTCGAAAAGGCGGATAATGAACAATTATTCTAGTTTGCAAAAGATTAAATGTTTGTCAGGTTCTTTTTCAACTAAACATTAAATGTAGAGAGAGATGATGGGATGTTTTGTGATGAAATCACCAAAATGCACGACCTATTATGAATAAAGGGACACGTGTGATGTCTAGGAGAGATGACTCATGGCTTTTCACGTGAACCAATGGAATTGGCAACTGTTAGATCGTGTGCTCACATGGGAAGTCGCGTTAGTTAAGGATTTTAGAATTTTTTACAAATAGAGTCATGCCTTTTTGCTAGGGTTTCAGGGCAATCGACCTTTTGTTTACCTTTATTTTGTGTCCCAAACGATCGCGGGAATTTTTCCCTTAGGACATTGAGACTGGTGGTTCAAGTGGACTTTTGGGAGGAGAATTTTGTAGGGCATATTCTGGAGCATTTGAGCAATTATCTACGTACATTTTATGGTGGCTCTGGAAATCGCGAAATTTATGGGTGTTCCAAAAGCTATGGATGCCGGAGACTGTGATCATGCGGCAAGCTACAAATGAATGGTCTGAATTCTGTTTGTTAGGTTCTTAGTTTGTTGTGTTTGTGGAGGTTAGGTTCTTATGTTCAGTGGCCTCCTTTTTTAGTAGTGTTTTTTCTGTGTATTTGTATGTCCGTGTTATGTGGGTGTTCGCTTTGTACTAAGGTTTCAAATCATTGTATTTGCCTTCAGTGCGCTGTATTTTTTGTTTGTAGACCACCATGTGGTGTGGTTCTCCCAGTTTGTATGGACTTATAAGAGCTAGTGAGCTCTTCGACTTTGTATTTTCTTATCAGTTGGTATGAGATTGTGATATCGTTTGGAAAAAAAAAAAAAAATAAGCAT